ATTCAATATTTTCGTACTGTATGACAAATGATCCCACCACCTGATAACACACATTTGTTCTGACACACAGGAAATACAGTGGAAGGTCATATTTTGTTGTTCTGTACGTTGCATCAAGCAGGCACATTTGGTTGCCATACCTGGTCAGGAGATGTCGTTGATCGCATGTCTGATGGCAGAACAGTAATGTTTGCGTGGATTCCTCGAGACTATCATCGGAGACGGTATCTCCATCTTGATCCTGGATAAAGTCATCTGATGCCGTCTTCGTTGAATGAGGACGGTAAAGGAAAGAATCTTGTGGATTCTCTGATTTCCATTTTTGAACTAGCCCCTCCAAATTCTTTTGGTCGATGGAAGAGAAATGGTTTGGTTTGCCTTTGTACAAATGATTGTATATGTCCTTGTTTGTAGGATAAAATCGTCTGCTAGTTTTGTCTGGCGGTTTACATCCCTTAAACAGGTCACATTGAACGAAAAGCTCAAGGTATCTGCGTGCCTCGCTTACTGAGTGGACACCCTCTTCGGCTAACTCTGAAAGCTTCTCCACTATCGCTATGTCCAGAGGCTCTCTTATACCAGCAACCTGTCATGTAAAAAGATAATTATAAATAATTCACCTGGCACAGAATAAACACTTGAAGTCCCACTTTGGGCGTAACCGTTGCAACGGTTACACCATGTCCCTAGCGTGTGCGCTTACGAAAGACTCCCCCCCCCTGAACGCCTACGCCAAGCCGCCTATTTGGAACGTTTTCAGGGAGATGGCGACGTCTTCTTAGCGCACTGGCTAGAGTGCTTTGCGTTTGCAAATAACATGGCGTGGTGGCGGTTACACTAACATCAAAGGCACCACCGACACGAAGTCGGACTTCTGTAAATGTTTATTCTGTGGTATTGAAGTGTTTTCTTGAAACGTTGGATAGGATAAACTTGCGGTTCACCGGTTGCGATAATGTACTATATTAAAATATTATCATTACCAAATGTTGTCATTAGTAATTTATAATTCTGCGTCAATATTTATTTTCATACATGCAATTCCCTTTAACTTTTAAACAAATTGTTACCTTCCCAGTTAAGTGATATTGGTGTTCAGAAGGATGAGGTAACTTTACGATATACCGCATTTCAACACCGTCACTTGCAATAGTGTTTTCCTTCAATTTTTCGTGCAATTGTTTTGCAATTCTTCTTCTGAAGAATATACTGTCTTTTTCAATCTAAAGAATAGTGTATACGTCATGTTTGCGGGTTTTTATGTATGTTAGAAAAAGACTTATTTTATCGTTTGTTTACAACATTTAAAGACCTTCATTTGCGGAAATTTTGCAATTTGTGTGATGAAAATTGTAGCTGGGCATTCTTTCTTTTTAGATGTCTGAGCAAAAGATCTTCTCTGGGTATGGTAACAATGGTCGGCACCCTGTAAAATGAAAAGTAAAATCCGCTTATTTGTAGAAAGCTGTGTATGCCTATTAGTATTTGCTAAATGTCTTGTTACCTGACTGCTGCGAATCTTCTCCTTATTTTTTTGTTTTGCTTTTTCATTTTTGTCTTTCCCTTGGTGACACCACAAGACTTTCTCTCCAACATGCACGAATGGTATTCCGTCGTATGCAATACTTGGCCCTTGGTTACCATCCTTTCTCTCCCAGAAAACCTTAAGTTTGTCTTTTCTAACTTCTAAAAATCAATTAAACAATAAAAAAAGTCGAATTCTGTAAAAGCGTAATATTATTTATTATCAGTATATTCTGCATACATTTTTGTTAGTAGAAAAGAAATTTGTAGTCATAAAAGTATTAATAAATTTGTTATTTTTGCTGTGTCCAGAGTCTGTGTCAGAGGGGGGGGGGTGAACTTAAAAGTTTGGGCCCTCTTCCTTTTGACCCCCCCGGTACGCAAAAAAATTTCCGGAAAAAGGTGAGGAGGGGGAGATATACGTTTTCCTGAAAATAAAAGGTCCAAAAAAAATTTTCGCAAACCTGTTTTGGATAAGGGGGGGAATACGTTTTTCAGAATTTTTCGACCTTAATTTTTCACAATATTCCTAAATGTTTAACACGTTCCGCAATTCCAGCATTTCGGGCCCCCCTCTTGGGAAATTGGGCCCCTTCCAAATTGCCCCCCCCCCCTTGGTATTTATATAAGCCCCCTGATCTAATTTTTACGCCCTGATAATTTAAAGATTTTTAGAAGTTGCACGGATACTGCACCTCAGTCGCCTCTCAGAGGTGTTGTGTACATGTCTTCGTTGCAGGTGATGTGCAAAACCTATTGCTTTATGCGCTAATGACATACTTCTTAATATATACTATACGTTAACAGTAATACTTGCCATTTGATCCAAAGCTCTTGTCACCGTAGTAAACAACGAATTTGCTGCTCGTCTCCGTCTCGTATTCTTTAATCAGAGCTTTTACATCGGACTCGCTTTGTACTACGGCCACCTTTTGGTCGCCAACATAGCTCGAATTTATATTCGCCGACATGCTTCGGATGACAAAGAAAAATTAACGTATAACTGTATAATTTCAATTAAAGTAACAAGACCTGTTATCAATTTGTATACCTCGGAACGTTTCGCGCCAATTGAATTTCCCGCAAAATTTAAAAAAGCCGCGCGAGTAAGAAAACATCCTTCAAAAGGAGTGGCAAGTTCGTAGAACGCTCGTAACTGATTTCCGAAGATTTTGGCAAACTCGTACCCAGTCTTCTCGCGGTTACCTTATTTTGAAGTATACTATCTAGCGATTTCCTTTCCATGACATGTATATTGTTAGATATATAGATATAGACGGACAGCGGTCATACGCACGGACATGCGCATTAGATATGTAGATCGGCCATGCTTATGTATTATTCATATTTTGTTAAAAGTATAATCTAAATACACGACAGTGGCGACGAATTTGGGATTGTTATAAGTCCAGAAATGACGACGATTGGAAAAATTGATGTTTTTGATGAAACCCAAGAAAGCTGGGAGACGTATGTCGAACGAGTACAACATTTTTTCGCTGCAAACGATGTCGACGACAATCATCAAGTGCCAACTCTGCTGAGTTTGATTGGAAGCAAAACGTATTCATTATTAAAGGATTTACTTTTGCCAGAAAAGCCTGCAGACAAGAACTTTGATGAAATAGTAAGTACATTACAGAAGCATTTAAATCCTAAACCACTAGAAATAGCCGAACGGTTTCGTTTTTATAAGAGAAATCAGCAAGAAGGGGAGAGCATTTTAAGTTATATAGCTGAGTTAAAGAAATTAACCACACATTGCAATTTTGGAAATAACTTGGAAGAAACCTTGCGCGACAGATTGGTGTGTGGATTAAGTAATCAGCAAATTCAGAAACGTCTCCTTGCAGAGTCAAAATTAAAATTCTCCAAAGCTGTTGACATAGCAGTTGCTATGGAAACAGCCACTCGAGATGCTACAGAGATCCACAGCAAGGGTAGAGAAGAAAAACCTCTTGGTCTTGACAAACTGACACTGAACAGACCCTCGAATAGATCAGATAGGGGCCCACCTTCCCCTGTAGTGTGTTATCGATGTGGAGCTAATACCCATGTTGCAACTGAGTGTAGATTTAAGAAAGAAGTCTGTCACAAGTGTGGAAAGAGAGGTCATATTCAAAGAGCTTGCCGGGCACAACAAAGCCAGGGGCCCGGTAGACCCTCGCCCAGATCAAGATACCAAAAATCGACCAATGCCATAGAGACCGAACCAGATGAGTATGAACACTTGTTGAATAACCTAGAAGTTCATAATGTAAACAAATCAAACAGTGATGTCATATGGGTTGACGTGAAAGTTGAAAATCAACCACTATCCATGGAACTAGACACAGGATCGGCCGTGTCCATTTTGCCATATGACATGTTCTTGGAAAGATTTCGCGACAAGAAGTTAGAGAAAACAACCACCGTACTAAAGACCTATACTGGTGAACTGATCGTTCCAGTTGGTTGCCTTACCATGCAAGTTGAATACTTAGATCAATCATGTCAATTGCCATTCCATGTAGTCCAGACTAAGGGTCCAGTGTTAATGGGTCGAGATTGGCTTCACAAGCTTCGCCTCGACTGGAAAACCATTAAGTTGTTGAAATCCTCAGATTCCAGCCATAGAAACCCTGGCACGACTACACAAGAGAAGCTGAAAAACCTATTGGATACGTATGCAGAGGTTTTTGAAGACAAGCTGGGAACTTTCAAATCTGCCAAAGCAAGGATAACCCTCAAAGAAGGTAGTCAACCACAGTTTCGCAAAGCTCGTCAGGTCCCATATTCCTTACGACCGAAAGTGGAGGAAGAACTGAAGAGACTTCAGAGCGAAGGTATTTTGTCGAAAGTAGAGTGGAGTGATTGGGCGACACCGATTGTACCAGTGCCGAAACAAGATGGTTCAGTCCGTATTTGTGGTGACTTCAAAGGTACTATTAACCCAACACTACAAGCAGAACAGTATCCTCTGCCTCGAATCGAAGATATCTTTGCCCATTTAGCTGGTGGGAAAAAGTTTTCCAAGATCGACCTCCGCCAAGCTTACCATCAGATTGAGCTGGAGGAAGAATCCAAGAAGTACCTTACAATTAATACGTCCATGGGCTTGTTTCAATACAATCGATTGGTGTTTGGTATTACCTCAGCTCCCGCCATTTGGCAGCGTACCATGGATCAGATTCTGGAAGGAACTTCTGGTATTAGTTGTATCCTAGATGATATGATTGTGACGGGTAAAAGCGACGCAGAGCATATGGCTAACCTGGAGGAGGTCCTTCGACGGCTGCACCACCATGGGTTAAGAGCCAATAAATCGAAGTGTGAGTTCTTCAAAGAAAAGATCACGTTCTGTGGCCACGACATTAATAGTGAAGGCCTGCACAAGACCACCGACAAGACAGCTGCAATGGTGAATGCCCCTCGCCCCCAGAGTGTTGCAGAGGTACGCTCCTTCCTGGGATTGGTGAACTATTACCACAAATTCCTGCCAAACCTTGCTACAATCTTGCATCCATTGAACCAAATGCTGGAAAGTAACTACCAATGGAACTGGACAGATCAATGCGAAGAAGCCTTTTGCAAAGTTAAAGCAATGATTGTTTCAGATCTGGTGCTTACACATTATGATCCTAACCTTCCCTTACAACTGGCTTGTGATGCTTCACCTGTAGGAATTGGAGCGGTACTGTCCCATGTCATGACAGACGGCACAGAGCGCCCGATAGCGTTTGCATCGAGATCCCTGTCGAAGGCGGAGCGCAACTACGCACAGATAGATAAAGAAGCACTGCTACAGTGTGGGGAGTCAAGAAATTCCACAATTACCTTTTCGGTAGGAACTTTACCTTACTGACTGATCATGAGCCTCTCACTTCAATCTTTCATCCCAGCAAAAGCCTTCCTGTTGTCACTGCTGCTAGATTACAACGCTACGCTTTGTTCTTGGCGGGTTTTGACTATACAATTAGATACAAGAACACTAAGTTACACGGGAATGCGGATGGTTTGTCTCGATTACCCTTGCATAGTGAGACAACAGAAGAAGAGCCAGATCCAGTGGGCCTCTTCTATGCCACGCAGTTTGAGCCTTTGCCAGTCACAGCAGAACAGGTCAAACGAGAAACACAGAGAGATCCTCTATTGGCGAAGGTCCATGAGTTGGTTATGAAAGGATGGTCCACTCCACAAGATGAAGCGATTAAACCGTTTTACCAGCGGAAAGACGAACTGACAGTTCACTGTGGTGTCCTAATGCTTGGACACAGAGCAGTCATTCCTGCAAAGTTGCGTAATCAAGTGTTAACCGAGCTTCACGAAGGTCACCTCGGTATTGTTAAAATGAAGTCTCTGGCGCGAAGTTACATCTGGTGGCCCAAAATTGATAAGGACATTGAGCACCTAGCCAAGAGCTGCCCTGGTTGTCAACTTCAACAGAATGAAGCCGGCAAAGTACCACTACACCCTTGGGAATGGCCAACCACACCTTGGCAGAGAATCCATTTAGATTTTGCTGGGCCGTTCCTAGGACGAATGTTCCTTATCATTGTAGATGCACACTCGAAGTGGCCTGAAGTGGAAATAATGCCATCCACCACATCGACGCAGACCATTGACCGACTCCGAACTATTTTTGCCCGATATGGAGTGCCAGCACAGGTGGTGACCGACAATGGGCCACAATTTACATCCGCAGAGTTCCAACTATTTTTGAAGACTAATGGTATCAAGCATATTACCACGGCCCCATTCCACCCTGCAACCAACGGTCAAGCGGAACGTTTTGTTCAGAGTTTCAAACATGCTATGAAATGCGAGAAACAAAGTGCATCCCAGCTGAAAACCAATATGGCAAAGTTCCTTTTGGCTTACCGGAATACCCCGCATTCGACGACTGGAGAATCACCGTCCGTGTTGTTTTTGGGCAGACCGCTACGGACTCGCCTCGATTTGGTGAAACCTGATTTACAAAGGAAAGTGATGAACAGGCAAATCGATCAAGCGGGGAGGAAAGGACATTCCCCCACACGTCAGTTATCCATTGGTCAGACTGTCATGGCACGTAACTACAGTGGGAAAGACAAGTGGCTACCAGGCATAGTTCGAGCTCAAACGGGACCCCTTTCGTACGAGATAAAAGTTGGTCCAAATCGAATTTGGCGACGTCACATCGACCAGCTTCGAGCCTCGAGTGTGAAAGTAAATGACCAGAGTGATGATACGGCTGATCCTCATCCAGAGCTCGGAGAGACTGGCCAGAATATTGCACCAGCAGAAGAAATTGTCGCAGAGCCGGATATCGAACTAGCCACGAATCCACCAGTAGTGCAACAACAAGAAGCCGGTAGGGCTACAACAGGATCTGAACAACGCTACCCAACTAGATCACACCAACCACCCGAGAGGTGGGGTCTTAACTGTTTGATCCGAAAACTGTTTAAGAAAACTACATAGAGAACTGCTTTATTACTTACTGTTATGGTTAGCATAATTGTTCGAACACGATAGTGAACTCATGAACTATATTTTATGATACATTCCTTAAGAGGAGAGATGGTGTTAGATATATAGATATAGACGGACAGCGGTCATACGCACGGACATGCGCATTAGATATGTAGATCGGCCATGCTTATGTATTATTCATATTTTGTTAAAAGTATAATCTAAATACACGACATATATGATTTAACGATTGCTTAAATTTGGTATGTGGTTGACAAATGCTTTTTGCCTATGGTCTGCATGGACAATGACATGCTTTTCTGTGTATATAAATGAATATAGCGCAGCGAATGCGCCAAACAGTATAAACGCGGCTGAAATACGATATTAAAATCTTAAATGTGCCGTATGATTTAATTATGTTTTAGGATTTACAAATGCTTTGTCATTTGTATTTATACTTGTACTGCATCACAAGACAGTACGTAAGTGAAAAAATTCGACATGTGAGATTGTCTTGTATACATTTTTGCTTTCTTTGATAAACATTATTAAACACGCAAATTTTAATTAGTGAGACGCAATGTTAAATGTCACCTGCATGTCATTGTCATTGCCCTTTAACCCCTGGTCTAATTGGCCGCTTTTGAAAATGTTGATCATGACGAACCGCACTGCCTTAATTATGCAAACTTTGTGTTTTAAAAACGGGTTAGGATAAAACGCGGATACGGACGGACGGATGAATGACGGACGGACGGATGGCGACGGACGGACCGGACGGATGACATATATATGTCATTATATAGTTTGCGCGCAGCCGCGCAGGGTAGTTAGTGGCTTACGTCTTCGCTGGTTGTTATACTTTAAAATAATTTTGTATATACCAAGAAATCAATATTCCGAGTATATAAATATATAAACTGGGATGTCACACTGATAGCTTGTTTACATTTCCTGGAGCATCAAATCTTATGTTTATAAACCACAGCGGTTTAACCCATTAGCTGGCAATGCGCCCTTCCCTTGTCCAACGCCAGAAGATTTTACTCGTCAGTGGTATAGGGTACTGCCAGTAAATGGGTTAACAAACCTATCTGCCAATGGCTCTTGTTAATTCATCAACACAGTAATGACCCCTACTTTAGTAGTTACCCTGTCCAACGCCAGACGATTTTTAATACTCAGTCAGTGGTAGGATGTTTCTGAAGAACTCGTTCAACACCCTGTAGTTTGTCTTTTGCTGTCAAAGGCAGCATTACTGCCCTGTGGGTAACCTAGTTCAATTTATAGGCGTGCGGGTCGTCATGAAATACCTTCCTGGATAACAACAACATAATTGTAAAAAATCAATCAGGTTTCCGTCGCAATCACTCAACCGAAAACTCGTTACTACAATCTACTGAAATGTGGTTGAAATCAATGGGCCAGGGTAAAATAAATGGGGTTATTTTCTTAGACCTGAAAAAAGCATTTGATACGATTGATCACCAATTTTCTATTGTCAAAACTACAAGCTTATGGGATACGCGACCACACGCTCAAATGGTTCCAATCCAGCCTAGTCCCAGTCGTTCTGAAGCAAGCGCGAGAAAAACGTGGATGTAGTACGAGATTGGGACCTAGGTGTGACGTCACCGCTAAAGGTGCTTCAGAACGCCTAGCAGATTTCAGTATTTTTAATATGGCGGAAAATTTATATATACAAATAACCTTGTATAAATACGACAATGTTCGTTGATCATGTTCGATGTCTCCATAACCAAATTCAAACTGTATTAATTTAAAAATGTGCTCAATTAAAAAATATATACAAATTTACGATACCGAGTCTGAGCAATGATCGTATAATCATTGATGATATTTATACTCGCAAGTTGTGATCAACACTAGACCATGATACTGGTATACACAACTACGCTTCTAGTTGACAGTTTTAAGTAGCTGAGGAGATTGGAAATATTTGCCTGACATGACTGTGTTGTCAAAACATTTTTAGTCGGAGACTCAGCATAATTTTCAAGCTTCTAGATATCATTTAATATGGCTTTATATTTTAGTAAACACGAGTCATATTTAGCCCGTTATTCCATTCTGACCGTATGGTAGCGAAACGTAGCCTATTTCATTGTTCCGACAGCATTAGAGCAGAACTAATGACTTAATTATAAACGCAAAGGAAATTTCCATAACATTTTCTATTTACAAATGCGGTATGCTTGGTAACCAGGCCAGGGACCACTTTTTTGAAATCAGGGACCATTTTACCGAAATCTGCTAGGCTCTCTCGCTGAAGCGTTCCGCACAGCACACCCAGGCATAAAACTTTTAAGACTTATTTAAATATATCAAAGCAGCGAATAGAGAGAGAGCCTGGGACTAGGCTGGTTCCAATCGTATTTAGATCAAAGAAAGCAAATTTGCATGCTAAATAACTGTAAATCTGATATTGAAACAATTCGTTGTGGAGTACCTCAGGGTTCAAATCTTGGACCTCTATTATTTCTCATTTACATAAACGACCTCCCAAACTGCGTAGAAACAACACATTCTAATTTATTTGCTGATGACACAATTTTATCATGTCAAGGGCATTTATCCATAGATATTGAATACAAACTTAACAAAGACCTAGTAAATGCTCAAAAATGGTTATCAGCGAATAAACTAACATTAAACAACGAAAAAAACAAATATATGATTATTGGATCTCGGCAACGATTGAAAAACTTAGATCACGTGCCAAAAATCAGTATAAACGGATATCAAATTGAACGAGTTTATAAAAAGGAAGCTTTGGGTATAGTTATAGACGATAGACTTAGCTGGAATAGGCAAAATGAAGAACAATGCAACAAGATATCAAAAAATATTAATCTTTTAAGAAAAGCCAAAGATTTTGTTGGCCTAGATACGCTCAAAATTATGTATAACGCATTAGTCGCGCCTCATTTTAATTACTGTTCAACTGTTTGGCAAAATAACAACCAAACACACTTAGACAAATTATATAAGCTTCAGAAACGAGCAGCAAGAATAATAACAAATTCGGACTATACTATAAGATCTTCGGACATTTTTCAAAAACTTAGCTGGAAACCTCTTGACTTAATTTTGAAAAAGCGAGATCTCCTTATGACATTTAAAGCGATTAATGGCATGCTTCCAGAATATGTAACACAACTATTTCACACTTGTGAAAACAATGGTTACGTACTGCGCAGTAGTAATTTAAAGCTGTCTCAACCTAAACCAAAAACGAATTTCTTGAAAAATAGCTTTTCGTACAGAGGAGCAGCGTATTGGAACAACATCCCAGTAAACTTGTTGAAAAGCCTAAGAGAATCAACAAGTTTAAAATCTGTCCATCATCTATTAAATAATTACATCTTGTAAATAAGTAAATAAGTATATTTTGTAAATAAGTATAATTTAGTTTATTAGTTCCTTCTTTTATAATGCATTTATTTTCCGCACGGCCCTTTGAAAATCACCTATGTGAAAGGTTACCGTGTTTAAAGATCAATAATAATGATAATAATAATAATATCCTTTTTTCTTAAAATTTTATTGAAGGGAATATTTTAATTTGTGACGTTTTTGAAATTTTCTAAGAAACGTAATTCCATAGAATTTTTTAAAATTGAAGAAAAAAATCATCAAGGGGATTTTTAAAATCAAGGGGATTTTTAAAACAGCCGGAAAAAGACAAATTTTGAGCTTAATTATCCTAAGCACGCTGTCATTATGGTAACGGACTTCAGCGCAAAAGTAGCAAATTGCAATGTTCAGGAGAGCATTGTCAATGTGTCCAATAAATTTCGTCTTCGTGTCATATAAAGTGAAGAAACAGGAGTTTTCTGGATACAAAAGTGTAGTATAATGCAAAAACCCTAGGGAGCCACCTTAAAACAGTTTTTATTATTATTTTATGACTTTTAAACACAGAATCACTGGTGGTCACTCGTGGTCATTCGTGGTCACTCGTGGTCACTCGTGGTCATTCATGGTTACTCGTGGTCACTCGTGTGTACTTTTAGACAAGACCGCTTGCTCTTGCGGTTCTGACGCGCGCATATATGGGCTTGTTATGTCGCGCTTCTGTAATTTAATTGGCTAATCATGTTTTTTCGTTCAAGGGTGATTTATACTTAGGGGCCACATCCATAATCATGTTGCCACGCATAACGTTGAATGAACGTTATTGTTTGTACCCACCCACCTCAGATAACGCCGAGCGTGGCATAGTCATATTCTGACTGTGAAAAATGTCACAAATAATATATAAATAATCAATCAATTTATCTTAAAGATGTATTAAAACCCTAAAGTCAAAATAAAACATGCACAAATTTGCTGGCACCAAAACAATGGCATATACAACCATGTTAACTGAATTTGGATGTGGTCCCTTATAGTAGACGCACTGTGACTGTAATAACCAGGCTGAAACCATTCTCTGATTCTCGTACCCAGAGCCCTTCTTACGCGCGTTCGACCGAGCGCGACGAGGGGCTCTGGCCAAATCCATAACTGGATACCATAAAAACATGGTAAGAAAACAATATCCGGTATTAGAACTATGGCCATCAGATGCCAGTTTGATATGGATTTGGCCAGTGCCCCTCGTCGCGCTCGGTCGAACGCGAGTAAGAAGGGCTCTGGGTACGAGAATGGGCTGATACAAAACAATAGTCAATTGAAAACCTGAAAAGTCTGGGACTAGGCAGGGATTTTAATATTTCACAAGTGTTAAAATTCAGGTTAATTAAAAATGTTGTTCAATTGTGAAATTTAAATTAAATATATTATCTAAACTGAGTTAAATCCCAGTTATTATAATACCCGGTATATGCCCTGGGATGACGAAATAAAACTAAATGGGTTAAATAAAACTCAAAATATAAAACTAAATCCGCGGCTGTGTCGTTGAGTGAGCTTCGAGAAGGACATCTATCGTCTACTAACGTTGAAGAATTTAATTCCAACGTCCAGCCAGGCCTTGTTAACAACTTCGACCCTTAGAATACCCGTTATGACGTATTTTATGAAAAATACATCGTAATAAAGACTTCATTTCATGATAGTCCTTTACGTTGCTTTATTCACACTTCTTGTATTGTTTTGAACTCATTTACTAACTCGAACACCACATTTTCCTTCCCTAACCCCTCCCTCCACAAGTCCCAATTGTTATCTCCCAAAATCTGGGCCGTGGACACGTGGCCAGCCTGGACCAGGATCGTTCCTCCAGCGACGAGCGTAGTGGAAAGAGCCTGGGTACGAGGTTGAAGTGTGATTTTTCATTAATACTTTGAGAACAAGTGTAATATCCTATTAATATCATTTTATATAGTCCATTTTACACGAGTAGTCAATCATAAGAAACATTTATAGTCAAGGGAGCACGGCCATACGCGCCTATGTCCGATTCCAGTAACATCAGGAGTGCCACAGTGGTCCATCCTCGGTCCATTATTGTTCCTTCTATAAGAGAATTAACTCTCCAACTCCGTGACCAATTCAAGGATTGCTATATTCGCGGACGATTCCATGCCAAGATCTTCAAGACCATCAATTCGATCTCTGATGCATCTGCTCTACAGAATGATCTGTCAAACTTCCAAGAAAGCTCAAGCAGTGTCAATCTCGAATTGAATCAGTAACACCAAATGCAAGGTCTTAAGAGTCACCCGAAAGCACAATAAAATTACTTATCCATACAAGCTCAACGATACCATCTTAGAATGCACGGATTGTGAACGAGATCTTGGAGTTCTAACATCTACCCTGACTAATTGGTCTAAATAAGTTAACCACCTGTGCAACAAAGCTTAAACATCAAAGATATCATGGTTCGTCGCAGACTATATTTATGGGGGGCCCTTTATGTGTTGTTCATTCCCAGCTCTGCTATGGATCTCAAATTTGGGCACCACAATCAGTGACCTTAATCAAACACGCGGAAAGACTTCAAAGAAGCGCAACAAAGTACATCCATTAATGTTTAATCGGCATGGATTTTAACCAATCAGAATCGAGTAAATTGACTAAAATGATATTAAGCAGGTAAATAGCTTACGTTCTATCCACCCAATTATTTTGAAATTTGAAAAAGTGGAAATTTTACAAATATCACGCGTACATGATCTATACAAATAAGGGAATGCTATTGGATAAGGTTTTGTGTGACGTAATTCCATGCGTCTGTCCTCTAATAGTATTAATAGATCATGGCTCTCGACCAATGAAAACGCTTGAATTCTTAACGTTATTATATAAATCAATGTCGCTGACTAAATGACTAAAGGTTTGTTGAAATGTACTGCAAACAAATTTATTTTAAAAGCCTTGTTTGCACACTGACCTCATTTAGTTAAGCCAGATTGACAGTACATATAGGGGAGCATGCAGCGATGGGACGTCCTCGCAGTTTTCTGCTGAGACAAATCCGAAAATCAACATAACAGTGTTGCAATCCACAGAAATAAAATACACACAGAACTTCCCGCCAGCTAGAATCTAATTGGGCAGCAGAATATATAAAAACACTCAGTCTTGCTCACAATTTTCATTTCACCTCTGAACATGCACTGCTGGAAGAACGGTTATACAAATTTCTTTAAAAAGCCAGGCTCCGAAGAATCAACATATTGAACCATGAAATCTGTTGTGTTCTTATCGCTCATGATTTTCTTCAGTGCTCTACCCACGTACAGTCAACAAACATTTCGCAGGAGAGGACCAACATTGCTATCAGATCGAAATGCCAAAGTTTACAAAAGTAAGTTATTGAGTACTTGGTGGAAATTTTTACTTTTACAATTGTTGCAAGACTGAGAGGCTCTGGTCCAGTGCCCTTCTCCAGTCTAAATTTGACATCCCAAGTTTGTTTGGGTTTTACAGTGATTTTATGCCGCCGTAATTATAGTGTATACTTTGTTCTTCCGACCAACGAAACCAGATACATACAGTAGAAGATTGCATATATGTAATTATATGCTGAATTGCATTTTCTAGAACTGCAAAACATCCCTTCTCCACAACATACCGCACAGAAGATCTTGAGCAATTCCATAGGCTTTCATCCAGGAAGAGTAGGGAAAAGAGGGATTGCTGTAGAAGATATTGTCATTGTTATGGATGGATCAAGGTCAGTCGGTCAATGCGGATTTAATGAAGGACTAAAGGCGTTGACCCAAGTGATAGGAATGTGGGAGGCAAACGGAAAGAGGAGGTACTATACTAGCTGCCGATATGCTGCAGTCACCTTTTCGTCCGAAGCAAGAGTCAATTTCAAATTTCTACCTTCCGCACAAGCAAGTCAAAAAATGAGCGCAATCACCTATCCTTCGAATTCTGGCGGTAGAAATACACAAGCAGGATTGGCAGAAGCAGAGAAACTATTCCTATCAGGTTGGTGGTCATTACACAAAAGTTCAGTGTAGTTCCAGGTTTTTCCCAATGAATGGTTCAATATAGGTATTTTTAGTACAGTTTTGCACTCAGTCTGCTTCTGCAGTGCTAGTGTATCCTTTTGTGGAAGGGAATCAGGGGCCGCGGAACCGGGGAGCATTGGGGGCATGTGCCCCCCACTTTTTTTTGAAGTAAAAGAAGTGCCCTTTTTTCTTGGGCTAAAGTGCCCCTGATTTAAAGAAGAAAAAAGTATCTCTTGCATGAACGTCCTCTTTTTCTGGAAAGAAAGTGCCCTTTTTGCTGTTATAGAAACTCCATATTTTCAAAAATTTTCGTTCGGCTCGTGAACGACAAAATCGTTTGATTTTGGTCATATACAAAATGCCCTTTTTTCGAAATGCTTCCGCGTGTGCATCATTTTGTCGAAGGGGATATATTGTTGGGATGGCCTAAATAGTCTTACTGATACAGGCCCTTGATCTTATTATATTGGTTACGTTGTTTGAGTACTATTTTTTGGTAAACTTCCTGTGCAGTTTTACTAGGAATATTTAATCGAAACATGCATGCATTTATGCTACGCATAAATTGCAATGCACTCTAGTCCAGGCGAATGACTATGACTGTTCGTCTGTTCCATACCGCAGATAATTTTTCGTTTTTCCATATTTCCAGTAGAAATGTAGAATTCGATATCAAGTCACTTTTGCCTAAAATATCGTTCGAATTTTGTTTGTATAGGTAATCACACGGGAATGAGTGCAATTAATGATTAACACTACGAGTAATATTTGAAAAATATGCCAAAATTGCACGAGCCGCCGATTATTTATTTATCATATGCATGACAAAATCGTTTCGGTTTCGCTGCATCGCGCCGAGATTATTTCTTAAAACTGTTTCCAGGTATTTTCCACAGGCTCTCTTTGCCATATCATGTTTTTTAAACTCATTCTTGTACCAAAATTTAGTTAAATTCGTTCACGTTTGTTATTGATACAAGATAAATTTCGCCGCCATATTGGACTTTTCCGTTCGCAGGTTTAATAAGTTGGATTTCCAACGTGAGTTCTACGCATGCTCGGCAATTGTTGCAAAATATAAACAAAGTATTTAGAATTTCTTGTCGAAATTTTGATACTTTTTACAACTGATATTGAATTGAAAACAACTAGAAATTCTGGGGGAAAGCTTCGGATTGATAGGGGTACAACTACCTGAAAAATACAAGGAGAACTTCGACGTTTCGAGCGAAGGCGCTTCGACATGTACTGTTAGTGTTTGTATACATCGTACTTTACCTTTACTGATAAATATAATCACCTCAAATCCTCAATAATGAGTATAATATATATGTGCTTTAAAATTTACATTTAACTCTCCTGTCAGAATTTATGGTATACGTAGTGTTAGGTACGGCAGTATAAAAGGTCAAGTACGATGTATACAAACACTAACACCACAAGTCATCGCTCGAAACGTCGATGTTCTCCTTGTATTTTTCATGTAGTTGTATCCCTGTCAATCCGAAGCTTTCGTACATATTTTCTCCAGAATTTCTAGTTGTTTTCAATCGATTTCAGCGTAAAAAGTATCAAATTTTCGACGAGAAATTCCAAATACTTTGTTAATTTGTTTATATTTTGCAACTTGTCAAGAATGCGTAGAACTCACGTTGGAAATCCAACGTATTATCTGCCGTTATGGCATCACAGGCCTGAATTTATTAATTAAACTTCAGTTGAAACTGACTGTAATTAAGTAATGGTCGTCAATTATGTTATATGTTTCTTTTATTAAGGAGGCCGACGCTTTTCAAAATTAAAGGTTCTTCTCATGACTGATGGACAGTCGAATATAGATAAATCTCTAACAATACCCAATGCTAAGAAGCTCAAGGATATGGGTGCGGAAATTTTTGTTGTTGCAGTCGGTGACCATATGTATGGAATAGATGAAATGGCTAAAGTGGCTTCATATCCACCAGAGAAATACATTTACCGAGTTAAGACAAACAGCGGCCTTCTATACGTTTTCGAATTGGCTCTTGAGAAAGTGAGAAGTGGTTACAAGGCAAAACCGTACGCATCTCCATGTCGTTGAACAGTTGGACGTATTCCTGATGGACTGACGGATTGATTAAACCACCAGTCAATTTACAAACGTGATTATAAATGTTGATTATAAATATAGACTAGACAAAAGTAGATCATATGTCATATATTATGATAGTGCATGAATAAAGTTGTATAATGAAGAAATAATACAGTAACTGAAACAGTAATCCATGCAATCTTGAATCTCTTTATCCTCTAATCATTATTAATGCCCATTACGCAAACAAAAGTTTGACCTTTTAATATAGTTGAGATGTGAATATAATAAATATATATTTGGGCTAGCTGGTCAACGGCTAGACATGTTACGCTAAACAAGAATGTAATTTGTGAGTAAGGATGTCCACAATCGGAAATTGACAGCAGATCAAACATTTGGCGATTCTTTGTTTTTGAATTCGACTTGATTTAAAAAAAATTCAATCATCAGTCATGTTCGTGAGGCAGCCATTCATACAAATACTGCCAACTGCGAAAGTGATCTCACCTCTGAGATTGTAGGTTCGGTCCTCAGTCCTCACATCGGGCGATGCGAGTTTGACTTTATTTGACAGATTAATTATTCACAAACATTATAATAAAAGAAAAAGGTGATCTTCCAATATAGACCGTGTGTGCATGCACTATATAAATATATCATATAAATTATCAATGATTTTAAAATCAATTCAATGTCTGGAAATAAATTTCCAGTATTAGTATAATATTCGCTTCATTTTGGTTTTAAAGCTAGAGATACTTTTTGATGAATTTATTGCGGTGGAAAGGTTATTCTTCCAAGTCTCATGCCCCCCTGTACTGCTGTAGGCAAAAGCCTTATCATATATTGTTTGTTTTTGGCTTAGGTAATGCGAAATTAAATTCGCTATTTCGTGTATTATGTTTACGAATTACGATTATGTATTGAATTTGTGTTGGTGAAAATTTCAGTTAAATGATTTGGTAACATTTTGTTTTTGACTTTAAACATAATGAGCACTAATTGCTGTTCTTTTCTGGCCGGTAAGTTAGAAACTCCTGCGTTTTCCGAAATATCAGCAGACCGAATCAGGCATAGCTTTCACGTCGGTTATTATTCGAAATGCTCGGTTTTGGAGCTTCTGTAATTTGTCTGCATGATAAATCTTTTCCTAGACAACTCCAAACTTGCGAGCAATAATCAAACTAGTGTGGTTGAATAATTGATTGATATATTGTAATTAGTGTTCTATAATCCGGCTATTTCTCGGAGCCGTCTCAGGATGCTGAGGCTTGCATTGACCTTTTTAGTAACTTGGTTTACTTGGGCATTCCATGACAAATTTTCGTCAATCTTTACACCAAGTGATTTGGTTACTTTAACTCTGTCTATTTTCCAACCTCTAACTATGTGTGTGAGGTTGTATATCTATTTGGTTGATTCTTCTATTACTACCTATACTGCCATGTATTCCGTTTTAGAATGGTTTAAAGTCTCTATAGTCATGGTTAAGATTTTCTACAATAGCGTTGTCCGCAGTAGCTAAAAATAGATTCTCCAAGTGAAGACCCCCCACGAGACTCAGACAAACAGACTAACATTTTGTATAGAATTGTACTAGCAGCGAACATAAATTGGTCTGAATTGTACTAGCAGCGAACATAAATTGGTCTAAATTGACGTTTTTATTTATTTTATCTGTACTAAAACGAATTCAAATTTATCCCAAATTACAAACATGGTTAATGCTAAGCACTGTTGCTGGGGAACATGTCCAAGTGATTCGAGATACTAAGAAAAACTGCCGAAACAGGGAATTGAAAAGTCGGACGGGACGGGAATGTCTGCCGTACCAATGTGTTGATTGTTATTGACTGCGGACTGTGCTGGTTTTTCTCCAAGAACTTTCGCAGCTAACCATTTTCCCCCATCAATACATCCAGCGAACGATGCTTTCCCGAACTATTAAAAGCAATCGCTAACTCGCTGAAGAAGAACTTGGCGTTTTATAATTTATACCGCTTTGCTATAAGCCGGCCTCTACATTTTAACCTCTGCTTGAGTTTAATCGACAGTATAAAGGTACGTTTACACGCTGCGATTTGTCGGGCCGATTTTACTCGCTGTATGTAAACAACCTGTCGTGAGTACTCGCGTCAGCACAATGCGATTCACAAAATCGGGAGAAAAATCTGTAACAAAACCACAGATTTTCTCACGATTCAACGATTTTTCTTCCGTTGTAAAGTTGTTGAAAACTTTTCGCACGCAGAAAACTATAATATGAACAGACGAGAGAGCGGACAGCTTCAATTGAACGTTTAAATCGCTAAATGTCGAAGAAGGGACATCGTTTTTTTTTCAAAATCGGCCCGACAAATCGCAGCGTGTAAACGTAGCTTAAGCAGATGGATCATGCTCAAAATATGAGTCTGGGACGCCATCGTTTTCAGTGAGAGCGTCTGTTCTTAAATTTTTGACTGAGAGAAGCAATAGTTTACCAGACAGTGTTAGGCTATTAATTAACACAGTGTTAAAGGGCGGTTCTCTATTTTACAAAACTGAATATTTAAATAACATGAATATTTGTTTTTATAATAACATATTTTTGTTGTATTGTCAAAACAAAATAGTTTTACTGGTCAACGGAAGATTTTATATTTGAGATTTTATATAGTTTGTAGTTTATCTTTGACATTTTTAAAAAAGTTTAAATTTGAAAGTATTAGTTTTAATTACATTCCTAATAAATCCGTATTTTATAAGTTGAATATGTAGTCAATAGATTATAGTAAACAATCCTAGCTTCTTTGGCTTAGGACTTTGCTATTAATAAAAGAGATGTTTAAAGTAATAAAATAATGCACACTAAAGCGAGTATTAAAATATAAGTTAGTATAAACATGAAATCAACAACATTAAATAGGGAACTTTAGAACTGATTCGCTAGGGCTACGAATTAAATCTGGTACGACTACGAGATTTTTTCGGTTAAATATCTGCTACTACAGACTTTCTATCGCCCTTTCTTTTGCATACCCTTTCTTTATGGCCTCTTTATAGCAACAGTTACGCCAAACCATGTACTATTATAATACAGTAGACACCGCCTATGATGGAAACGACATGACAGTCGATACTAAAGTGACGAAAAAGTGTATATTTCTACTTCCAAAGCAAAAATATTTTGCACTGGCACTTCAGGTAAAGCGAAAAGTACAAGGTGTGTATGATTTCGCACAAATAAACCGTAAACAAACATCAAACTATCAAACTAACTCACAGGAAGCTCTTAATCATAATACTATTTATATTTATAAATGTTGCCAATGTTTGTCTGAGTCTTCGCGGGGGGTCGAATTTTCGTGACGTCAATTGCGGACAACGCTATTACATTAATATTTTCACTAAATGTATCGACTTGGGTGTTACCGGCAAACATATTAGCACTTGTTCGCTCTAAGCATTAAGGCAGATCATTTATGTATATTAGAAATAAAGGCGGTTCTATATAGAGCAGATAATACCTTTGGCAATATTGCGTTCGATCTGTCAAATAAGACCTGAGCCAACCGATAGTGCCGTTCCTGTTATGCCGTAAATATCGATATCCAACTTTTTAAGTATTGGATATCATGATTGACAGTGTCGAATGTCTTTTCTAAGTCTAGGAATACGACACCGTTTAGTTTACCAATATCAATATTTTGATACCATGGTATGCGTTTGCCCACAGGCGGCCCAATCTCGCAAGGGTCAGTATAGACTTTATACCATATTCTGTGCTTTATACAGTATAAATTTATATTATATTATATTATATTAATTGTATATTATAGTAAAAATATGTCATAAAATATAATTTTAAAATGAAATTGACTTGCCTATTTGCTAGTGTGTGTTCTCCTTTTATTCCTCCTTTGTTGGACTAATATTTTCCGAGACTTTGTACTCGATGTTACTAGTATACATGAAACATGATAAAGGCTAACCATTCCCGATCGTCGATACGACGGCACGGCACTTCGAATCGAAAATTCTCACACTCAAATCGCTTTATTCTCCAAAACAATTCGCCAGCATGTACAACAAATGCCGTTCTTCGAAAATACGGAGGTATTTCGGCGAGATGTACAAGTTTTGGACCATATTTTAACAATGGAAATCAAAACCCATTTTATACTGAACTTGCCCAGGCCGAAAATTACTACGGCGAACGTCTGCGCAACCAGGCCTTCTTTACCGTTAGATTTACAGGGGGGGAAGCAGATATTTCCGGTAACAGCCAGCCAATCGCGGCCGCGATACCGACTATTTACATTATTTGAAATTTGATATTCAAAATAAAAACTCCTTCGATCGGATACTGTATAAAACTCGAGATGTTGTCGAAGAAAAGAAAACTAAACGACGGAGATTGAAGAAATTTAAGGAAGAAGTAATATACAGCGGCTCTTTGTTGGAAAGCATGGTAGAATATGATACTTTAATTCGAAATATTATCGTGAATATATTAGTGGCATCCTCCCCCCCCCTGTAAATCCAACGGTAAAGGAGGCCTGGTTGCGCAGACGTTCGCCGTAGTAATTTTCGGCCTGGGCAAGTTCAATATAAAATGGGTTTTGATTTCCATTGTTAAAATATGGCCCAAAACTTGTACATCTCGCCGAAGTACCTCCGTATTTTCGAAGAACGGCATTTGTTGTACATGCTGGCGAATTCTTTTGGAGAATAAAGCGATTTGAGTGTGAAATTTTTCGATTCGAAGTGCCGTGCGGTCGTATCGACGATCGGGAATGGTTAGCCTTTATCATGTTTCATGTATACTAGTAACATCGAGTGCAAAGTCTCGGAAAATATTAGTCCAACAAAGGAGGAATAAAAGGAGAACACACACTATCAAATAGGCAAGTCAATTTCATTTTAAAATTTATATTTTACGACATATTTTTACTATAATATACATTAATATAATATAATATACATTTATACTATAAGTCTATACTGACCCTTGCGAGATTGGGCCG